GCCAATGCCTGGTCTGCCCGGCGCGCTTCCCGTCGCGACGCGCTTTGGCCGAACGTTGTCGGGCCAGGCATGGGCGTCGGTTAGCTGCTAAACAGCGCGTCGATGGTTCTGGCCTTCGCCCCGCTCGCGGCGCAAATTTTCGCGCGCGATTGCGATGCCTCGCGCGTTTGTCCGGGAAGCGGCGCCCCGCGTGCGCAGCTTGGGCGCTGCCCCCCCGCTACTTGCCGCCGTGCCGGCAGCGCTGAACGAGCGAGATCGGGCGGCGAAGCGCGAGGCCCGGGCCCAGGAGCACACGCGCCCTTCGGCTCGAGGGGCGGCGATCGCCCGCGACGGCAAACGCATCGGGCACTGCTGGTAGCGCATGACCCTCTCTCCGGCGCCCCTCGGCGCGATGAGCGCGCTGCGCGGGGGCGTCGTGCGAGGCCGGTACCCTGGCGCATTTGCTGTGATCGCTTTTCTTTTGTATAGCAAATGCCCAAATCTGTCGCAATGGCGCGGTGGCTTTTACACCCCGCTACACGCATGACATTCACGTCGCCTGGCGTTCATGCTTTGTGCCGGCAGGTCCCTGACGTCGCTGTCACGGGCCGTGCTTCGTTTTGCTGTTGCCTCCCCACCCCCCTTCCGCAGCTGCCGTGCTATGTTGTATAGTTTCTGCAATGCTGTGCGTTTGCAGGTGCCCTCCGATCCCTGAGCAACATAGTGGCCACGGCCCATCTCGCCGCCGCGCTTAGGTCGTAGTTCAGATGGGGATAGATTGAGAGGCTTTCCGGAAGCCTCCTGGAGGCGGCTCTGGCGTGTCTTCTAGGCTTCTAGGCCTCCTGGAGCTTCTGGGAGTTTTCTTGGGGTGCTGCTGGCGGTTTCATAAGTCGTCTTGGGGCGGAGGGCTCGAAGCTTCGGTTCGTGCTCCTCGTCTGTGGCGTCTCTCGGGCCTCTCTTGGGTTCCTATTCGGCCGTATTGGGGGCCATCTTGGGGCCCTCTTGAGGTCGCTCGGGGGCTTCTTGGGGCGATATTGGGCGCCTCTTGGGCCGTGTCGGAGCGTCAGGAACCCGAAAAAGCGAGATCGCGAAATTCACTGAACATCCTTAGGACCATCACTGATTCTGGCCTGTCGGGTCCTTTTTTTGAAATCCTCTTGGAGCCAGTCCGGTGTCCGGGGAAACGTGAGACTCGAGCACTCCAGAAGTCGGGTTTGCCGACGCGTTTTGACGATCCCGCCCTTGATTTTGACGGCCCAGTTCTCGTGGGATGTCTGCAGCGGGAGCTCGCGTCAAATCTCAAAATGAGCCTCGTCATTTTCACGGCGGCCCCGTCGCCAGGCCAACCCGAACCCGAGTCTCACGTCTCCCCGATATTGGAGCGTCGTGGGCCGTCTTGGAGGTCGTCTTGGAGCCTTCCTGGAGTTTTTTGTTGGACGTGCTCTTGGAGCTCTCTGTGGGCATTTTGGAAGCGTCGCGGGGCGTCTTGGAGGCCATCTCGGGGCCCTCCTGGAGCCTTTTCTTTGACGCGTGCTCGGGCTTGGTTTTTGGGTGTCTTGGGGGCCGCCGTGGAACACTCTTGGAGCCTCTCGGAAGTGGGCCTGGAGCTGCTTGTGGGCGTCTTGGAGGCGCCGTGTGGCGTTCTGGGGGCCATCTCGGGCGCCTCGCGGCGCTCCTTCGCGACGCGCGGGGCGCCCGCGGCGGGCCTTTTTCCCCGGGCGGCGGCGCCCCCGCCGCCGCGGACACGCCTCGGGTGCGCACTGCCAGAGGAGCTCTACCTCGGCAGAGGGGGGGGGAGGAGGAGGAGGAGGAGGAGGAGGAGGAGGAGGAGGAGGAGGAGGAGGAGGAGGAGGAGGAGGAGGAGGAGGAGGGGGAGGGGGAGGGGAGGAAGGAGGAGGAGGGGGAGGAATGGGGAGGGCCGAGGAGGAGGAGGAGGAGGAGGAGGAGGAGGAGGAGGAGAAGGAGGGCGGAGGGCTGAGGGGGAGGAGGAGGAGGAGGAGGAGAGAGGAGGAGGAGGAGGAGGAGGAGGAGGAGGAGGAGGAGGAGGAGGAGGAGGAGGGAGGAGGAGGGAGGAGGAGGAGGAGGAGGAGGAGGAGGAGGAGGAGGAGACGCGCGGCGTCGCGGATGCAAAACGAGGACCTAACACACAGAATGACACCAGCCCAAGGAGTCGCGCTCGCCCACCGCGAAGCCTCACACCCCCAGGGAGTTATGGTCTAGGTGTTCTAGATGGGATCCGAGCAGATGGGGTCGGAGGATCGCGCCGCATCTCCGACGCACCGACGATGCGGCCCGACGTGGAGCCCTACTGTCCTCACGCGGACGTCGCACTGGCGTCGCCGACGTCGGCGATGCATCGCCGGGGCATCGCCGATGCATCGCCGACCCCACCTGTCGACTAGACGTAAGAGTGACCTTTCGCCGGAGTGACCTTTGGTGCGGGCACAGATGAGCCCCCAAATGGCCAAACGCGAAGCGGTAGCAGCGGCTAGCGCGCCTGGATATGGCCTCCCCGCGGCCCCCCCAAAGCCGCGCACCAAAGGTCACTCTTACCCAGGGTCACTCTTCAGCTGAACTCGGACCCCATCCAGGAGGCTCCTATATTTTCAGCTCGTCGCCGTTTCTTCTTGAGGTTCGTGGCTGTCAGTGGCTTCTGGCGGAGCTGCACTTTTTTGCTGGCGAGTTGTCCTCCAATCCCGGGGGTGGAAGTGAGAAGGAAAAGGCTTTCTCGGAAGAGGCGGCGGGGCCTTTCAGCAGCCCCCTGTCAGGAGGAAAAAACACACAGACACAATTAACCGTCGATTCCCCAGAAGATAGGGGAAACTATGGGAAGTGGGGGGAACACGAGAATCAACCAAATATGGGAAAAGATGGGGGAATTTTGCTATGTGTGTGTGTATTTCTATGTGTGTGGCCCTGGGCCCCTTCGCCCTGGCCTCCCGAGAAGTTCTCTGTCTATCTGTGGGTGGGGGGGTCTTGGGAGCACTGCTCGGAAGGCCGGAGAGCTTCCGAGCCCTCTCGCGCCTCCTCTCGGTTCCCCCCCCCACCCCACCCCAGGCTCGCCGCCGACTCGCAGGGAACAGGCACGAGGGGGTGCTCCTCCTCCTCCCTTTCCTCCTCCTCCTCCTCCTCCTCCCCCTCCTCCTCCTCCTCCTCCTCCTCCTGTGGAGGCGCCGTGTCAGGGGCAACGATTTTGGGGGTGGACAGAACCCCCAACAGTGACACGTCGATTAGTGAAGTGTCCGTTTTCGGTTCTGGGGAGGGCACCGTGGCCGCCGTTTTCCAGGCTTGCGCCCGCCAGGTTTGGGCCTCAGGTCTTTTTCACTAAACCACGTTTTGCCAAAGGGGGGTCTGTCCATCCCCGAAGGAGGGAAACAAGCACACAGACACAATTAGTCGTCGATCCCCCAGAACATAAGGGAAGCCAATTATGGGAGGGGGGGGGAAGACAAAAACCTAGAACACATGTGGAGCAGATGGGGAATTTTTTTTAATGTGTGTATCTAGTTGTGTGTCCCAGGGCCCCTTCATGCTCCCCCAACCCCCGGATTCTCCTCGAAAGGCGCGGCCGATCAGGAACGAGGGGGGGGGACCTCGACGCACCCCCTGTCGAGGAGGGGCGCCCCCCCCACCCCCGCGTGTATCCCAGGGGTGCGCCCCAAATGGTTGGTCCATCCGAGAATCCCAGGAGGCCTGGGACAGGGTTCGACACAGCCCCTGCTGCACCTTGGCATGGGGGGAAGGGGGGGGGCGGCCACCTTGCCAGAGTCAGGAGGGAAAAAAACACACAGACACAATGAATCGTCGATTCCCCAGAAGATATGCGAAAATATGGGAAGTGGGGGGGGAGACGCAAACCCAGAAAATGTAGGAACATATGGGGCATATGCTTATTTGTGTGTATTTATTTGTGTGTTCTGGGGCCCCTTTACAGAGGAGCTCCACCCCGGCCCAGGGGCTGGACCGTCTTCGGGGGCCCACTTGGGGCCCCCTTGGCCCGTCGTGGGGCCCCCTGTCGCACCTGGAGGAAAACGTCACGCGGGGGCACGCGACAGCGCCCCGCACGGCCAGGGCAGAACCTGATTTTCTGGCTCCTCCTCCTCCTCCTCCTTCCCTGATTTTCTGGGGTCGGGGCCCTTCGATAGGACGGGATAGGCTCAGGGGGGGACGCATCGACCCTGAATCGCCGAGTGATCACCGATAGGTGCCCGATTGACCTCCCCGCCCAGGAGTTTGCGGTTTTGCGATCGGGGGCCGATCGCCGATCCATCGGCGACGTATCGCCGATTCCATGTAGATGCCCCCCCTTATGCCAGTCCCCGCCTATCGTTGCACCTGATATTAATTTCCTCATGACTTAGGATGGAGAAATCCCAGGGACCTGAGTGTCCTCAGGGTACGATGGCGGCTTTTCTTCGGTTCGATGGGATCACCCGGATATGTCCCCAATCGGCCGGCCAGTTGGTAGAGTGCGGTTTCAACTTCATAAACAAAACGTTACTAATGTATCTTGTAGCCTTCAGCCCATCCTTCCACCGTGCCTGGGTTGAGGGTCAGAGTCCAAACGGATGCTTCTGGAGATCTCTTCGGAGGGCTCTCGGGGGCCTTTGAGGGTTAGTTTTGAGGCCTCTTGGGGGTCTCTCTGGTGCCTCCTGGAGCGTCCTGGGGGCCTCTTGGGCCACCTCACACAATGACGTATCATATTATCACGACTGGATGGCAGGACCGAGGTGGGCGGGGGGCGGAGGAGGGACGGCGGACGAGGGCGAACCCCCTCGGGCCGCGTGCCACCTGGCAGCGTTCCCGCCATTTGGCCCGTGCCTCTGGCCCCGAGTGGACGAGGACGGGGTCCGAGTGGATGGGGTCGGAGGATCTCGCCGCATCGCCCATGCATCGGCGATGCGGCTCTTTGTGGAGCCCGATGGGCGCCACATCGACGCCGCGGATGTATCGTCGACGTCGACGGCGCATCGCCGATGCATCGCCGATGCTCCGACCTTATTTTGTAGGCCTCTATGGTAGGGTCGGCCCTGCAGGGGGGGGGGGTCGAGGCGTCCGACGGGTCGTCGTCCGCCCCGGGCGGCGCGCCATGCCAAGTCGCGACAAGGGCGACCGCGACGGGGACCGGGGCCGCAGAGACAGAAGGCGCGCCCCCCCCCGCTGGCGGGGCGAGCGAGCGGGTGCGGCTGCCCTCCCCCCGCCAGCGGGGCGAGCGAGCGGGTGCGGCGCAGTGCCATTCTTGCTCTCTCTCTCTCTCTTTCTCTCTCTCTCTCTCCTTCTCCTCTTTCCCCTCTCCTTCCCCTCCACCTCCTCCTCCTCCTCCTCCTCCTCCTCCTCCTCCTCCTCCTCCTCCTCCTCCTCCTCTTCCTCCTCCTCCTCCTCCTCCTCTGGCACGTTTTCAGCCACGCATGCTTGCAAGGCCTGTTTTGCGCGATCGTGTTTGGTTTCACCCTGCTCGCGCGCCGTCTGGCGCAAGGCTCCTGTCTGTCTGTCTTCTCCTTCCCCTCTCCTCTCCTCCCCCGAAGAAGAAGCAACGCCATAAGCGTAAACATCCGGCGTTCCGCGCGAATTTCTTGGATCCGCGCCGTGTTTTCGAGGAGACTAAAGGAGGTTGGGGCAAAGACGAGAGATAGCGAGCGTTTGTCCGCGGCCGTTTGTGCTCAAGCGGCCGGCCGCCAACATATGACTGCGCCTCATCGCGAGGCGCACTACTTGCCATCGAGACCGAAAACATCTCCGCTTGACATGGCACGTCGCTTCCGCGACGATCTCCTCCTTTTGGGACTATCGCTACTACGGCACAACAGAGTATCGATATGGGCTTCGCCTTATGCGAAGCGTATGGTTGGGCCTCCCAACCCCCTTCAAGCTTGGTAGCGGAGCTGGCCCATGGTGGTGCAGCGGGTCTGCGCGCAGGAATGTACATATCTATGCACAGCCGCAAGGACACTTGCAGTGCCACTTCTGTTGTCGCGGAGGCCTCTTACATGAGTCCTACCCCCTGCGTTACGACACTCTTGAAGGCCACCTTCCTACTCCACTTGGAAAGCTGTTTGAAGACACGATACATGGCGACATGCGATACGATTTTGTGCCGCCTCCACCCCCACGCAGGCGAACGACACCACATCATAAACAACAACCACAAACATCCGACTGCGACCTAAGGGGCCATTGGATTGGCATTGCCAGGTTTGGCTTCCTATGGGTCGCTATCGGGTGCGCGGTTGGGCACATGCAGCGTGGCGGAGACGACACATGTACTACCGGCCCCCATTGGGGCCCTGCCAGTAACGTACATTTCCGCGAATGCGCTCGCGAGGTACATGCCTGGATCAACCCGATTGCGACAACATGACCCCCTCTGAACAGGCCGCGGCATTACAGCGTGGTTTGGGTTGGACCGCAAGGACCATAGCCAGGAGAGTACCTTCCGCAACCAGTGATTTTGGCGTGAACATCGGTGGTCGCCACACCGACGGCGCCACCTGCATCTTGTTCCTCCTCAGCACGAAGTTCGAAAATCTAGAGGAGGAGCGCCAACTTAACCCAGGAATGGCTCTCATCGACTTTGGCGCCCATGCGGGAAAGCGGATCGACCAGACGGCAGCGCGCTTGGAGTTAGCACGCTGAGGCCGAGACCGCAGGCTTCAATATTCCCAACTTCCAGATCCTATCAGTTATCGTGTTCAGAGCTCTGGGAATTGGCGCGTCGCGCCCACAGCAACTGCTACAACCACTAAACCACCGAATGCCAAGGACCCAGCAACAGTTCGACTCTCTACTAGAGCGCGCGAGGTCTTATGCCCACATTGCTGAGCGAACCCCTTGCAACATTAGTGGTGTATTTAGCCACGGTCATCGCGCCGAAACCTTTCACGCCGACCGTAATGCAGGGCAGCCTGCTAACAACGTCTGGAACGACGATCCACAACCAAATGAGGCCACCGTTGATTAAGCCAGCAAGGTGGCCAGCCTACGGGGTCGCAATATCCTGGGTTCGCTACCGAGGACCGTCGGTAATGGCGGCCCCTGCCCAAGCTGCTACCCTTGTAGGCTCTGCGGGACAACCCGCCGGGTCTGAGTTTGACTCTGGTACGGACACCGACACCTCATCATATGAGGGGACTGATGCCTTGGATTATTCCGACATGTCTGTGTATGTCACCCAAGAGCAGCAGTCGCAGCGGTTGTACCTAGGAAACTTAAAAGCACAAGCTCCGATGGACACGCTTCATGAAGGAACCAGTTCGTAAGGCACGACGCGCGGTCCGACGGGCGTTTAGGTCAAAGTGCGAGGGTAGAGGTAAGGGCAAGGGCAAACGACGGCGATTACATGGCAGAGGCACGCTGGCATTCCTGGCATCACTTACGGGACCGCGATGCGAAGACATGTTCCTGGGGGCCGGTAGAGGCCGCAGGCGCACCTCGTGAGAGGGTCAGTGGCGGGGGGGTCGCCCGAAGAACGCCAATGGGAAAACCATGGAATGTGATATCTGCCATAGCACGCGACATTTTCGTCGCGAGCGCCCCCCAGGCGATGGGGGAGGCAGGGTCCGCAAATACATTTGGCTCAAACCGATTCGAACGCTCAGCATGTCGATTGGGAGACGCTTCTCGCCGCGCCCGCAGACGACTCCACTGCCGCCGTCCACTTCGCGGCCGCGAGGCATCTGAGCGCTGGCGTGTCCCTCGAGAGATATGCCCATGAGCTCTTCGAGGAGATCTGCGTTGCCCACGGCGAGATCAACCTGGCGGACTGGCGGGGCATCCCTGTCTCGGGGCAACCTTCGCAGATTGAGCTCGTCGAGGACTACCGCGCGCCCGCCGATTCGGATCACGAAATGGCGGGGGCACCTGCGGACTCCGATGCTACGACGCCGGCGGCGGAGGAGGGGCTCCAACAGATGCTCCGACCGCAGGTCATTCGTAACCCTAGGCGCGGGGAATCCCACGACGACGATCCTTTGCGGGGCAGCCCGCGCGACGCTGGTGACCTCTTTTTTTTTTTTTTTTTTTTTTTCCCGAGCGCGCCCAGCGCGATTTCGGGCGTGCGTGACGAAGGGTCTCGCTTCGCGCTCGCAATGCGCGACCGATCCACGAGCCGCCCAGTTTGGAGGCGAGTGCGTCGCAACGATTACGACGATGACGAATGGGAAGCTGAGGGCCATCATCCACAACGTCATGGGCGGAGTCACTCTCGCAAGCACTCGCGCGCCCGTTCCAGAGGCGCAGTGCCCGCGTGCGCCTGATCAGAGGATTCCAAGAACTCCACCCAGAAGGGGGCCTTCGCGGGGGAACCCGCCCAAAGTCGACGATCCCCCTGGTGGGCCCGAAGGCCGGCGCCTAAGTCGACTCGCCGGGCGCGAAGATCACGGGCTTGCCCGCCAATACGTCTCAGCAGCAGACGCGCGCCATTGGCTCGACCAAGGCATCGCCGAGCACGACGTCCGCCGTGGGTGTCCCCTTTATAGTGTCACGCGGAATGAACGCGGCAAAATCGCCTGCACCAACAGAGGCCGCGGCACTCAATCGGCCCCCCCTGTTGAAAAGAGGGGCGCAAAAAGGGCCATCGTTAACGATTAACGATCGAGGAGGACGCCGAGGCCCGATCTGCAGCTTCGAGCACTTTGCTGGCCGTAGACCGGACTGTCCGATGGGGCGTCTTTCAAGGAGCCCTAACTTTGACAAGACTCAGAGCCGACCTGCAATCCTCCTGAATTGCGCTCGACCAAAGATGATCACCAGCCGCCCACAAAAGATGAGGTAAACCGCGTTGCGCAACAGTGGGGGAACCTCGATGAAGATCCGCCCCGAGCGATGCAATCGAGGATATCACGAAGTGGTGCCCGCCGCGTCATCTGCGGGGTAACCAGCTTTTTCTGGGCGCGAAGGTGCTGCTACTCCGAAGGGCGACAAAGAGGGTGACGATATTGTCCTTGCTAAGGCTGTTGACCTACTGCCGCTGCCAATGATTCCGGGTGCACTTGCGAGATTGACAGCAGCGAGTCATATGATGCAGATTGTGACGTCACCCATCCAGTGACGGAGGACATGAACATGGCACCTGGTACGATGGTGTTATATCATTCCAGAGAAATCGGATAGTTAGACACCAAGGCATTGTGCAGGTTGCGCGATGGAAGATACATGTTGGGCTGTAAAGGAAAGGTGAACATCGAGGACATGTCACTTCACATGCCAAAAAGGGGTCCTACTCCAGATAGGTCTTCATCCGGAGACGCGGGGGGACTTGCTGCATCCGCGATTGCGGGGATGCCCGCCGACGAAGCAGCAGAGCCCCCGGAGCTCCCGGGGCAATCTTAGGAAAGAAGCGATCTGAGAAGGACATCGATTTATCTCAAACACCAAGTGCGCCAAGGTCACCAGCCCCAGCGTCACCTAAGCAAAGGGGGAGAGCCGGCGCAGCAGAGGCCGACCCTGGAAGCAATGAACCACAAAGAGCTGCATGGAAACCTGCCCGAAGACAGTGCTCCAGGGGGGCCACTGCTGCTGCAGCATCGGCGCTCCAGGGCAGCAGTGCGCCCACGCCGAAGGAACCTGCATTCCTGCGTGGCCCAACTCCCGGCAGGCTCCACAGGGGAGCTGGCCGGGCGCCATCATTGGAGGGCGCATCCAGGGCGCGCTCCTTGCAACGAGATGAAGGTGGGAAGGCGTTCCAGACTACATCCAATGCGCCGGGGGCTGCCCCGAGGATCACTGAATTCCAATTCTTTGATATTCGTGAAAGGAAGAAGCCAACTGGGGGCGCAAGCTCATCCGCAGCGCCAGCGGCGACAGTGGCTCCTGCGGGGGCACCCGCTGAACCATCATCTGCGTCTGCGGGGCAAGCTGCCGTCATCCCTGAACTGGTCGAGGGGGGCAGGCGTTGCTGGGGGGCCCTGGGCACCCGTCAACAGATGATGGTCGACCAAGCATACCGGCCCAATGCCACCGACGGGTCAGACCGCTACAGGGTGGTACCATACGAGACAGTCTGTACCGCCACGTACGCCGATAAAGATGCTCTCGAACGCCAGCGAAGCTTGGCTCCGTGCGGAAGATGTCGGCACTTTCCGCGAGCGTTTCTTTTTGTACCAACAAGGTTTCGATCGTTTTTTGTTGCGCACAACTGTTTGCAACCCGATCGTTCTTGGTGGTTCAAAATGGTTTTCCCGCTGCAGCCTGGGCCTCATGTTCGGATCGGCGTTTTGTTCCCGCCGTTCAGAAAAGCATTCTCGCCCCAGCGTGGGCGTTTTCTCTGGATCCGAGTCCTTTTTCTAGTTGTTGTCCCCACCCTCGTTTCCCCACCTCCGCCCCCCCGTGGTCCTCCTGTTCCTCCCGTTCCCCTTCCACTCCCGTTCCAGATGCTGCTCTTCGTCCTCGTTCCCTTCATTCCACATCCTCGTGTCGTGTTGCTCCTGCTCCTCCTCCTGCTCACCACACCACCCTTCTTCCTCCTGCTCACCACACCACTTCCCCTCGCGATGTCAGGCATGGCGCGAGCGGCGCACCGAACTTTAAAGTCGGGCATGTATCCCACACAGGAGGAATATCAAAAAACAATATAACATGGCATGGGACGGTTTTCCCGTTATTTTTGGCTATTTTCGAATCTGGTTTGACAATGATTATATATCGTTCAAATTCCGCCTGTAGGAGAACATGCCCTACCTCAAAATAATTCAATGGGAATGAATGGGAGGGATATATGTGATGTCAGATCAGGCGCGAGCGGTGCACCTGGCTTGCCTTCCCCCTCTCCCCGGGTAAACCCTTGGGTTAACCAGAAGGTACCGATGCCGCTACTCCACCTCTCGGGGCGCGTTCTCACCAGAATCTCGAGGCGAATCCAACGGTGGCTACGCTTCCCAGGAGGCCCAGAAAGGCGCAGCCGAGGTAGGGGGACCGGTATCGGCAGCTTCCCGTTCCTTCGGTAGGGGAGGCGCGAGCGCAATTAGCGGGCGGGGGCCAAGGGGGGGACATGGAGGGGGTGAAGAAAGGTCGACCAATCAACAAGCGACAGCACCACATCTACGGCCATATATTGTGCTACGGTTCATCGAACGCCGTAGAGCCCGCGCCTGATTTCGTGGTGTACGCTAAACCCCGTGGGGCCGCAGGTGGGGTGGCGTCGAGTTTGTTCTGGTCCACATGGGGCCCTGAAGGGACCATTCAGTGGCCCTTGGCTTCAACAGGGGCCCTTAAAGGGCACCCTTCGGGGGCCCATTTTCGATACCCCCTTCGGACACCCTTCCTCTCCTCCTCCTCCTCTTCCTCCTCCTCCTCGCCCTGCCTGGGGGATGGAACCTCAGGCTGGGAACAAAAAGTTCTCATCGGACCCCCACCCAATTTTCCCTTCTGTCCCCCTTGACTCCTCCCCTCTATGGGCAGTGAACCTCCTCCTCCTCCTCGCCCGACTTTCCCCCCTCTCCAGGCCGCCGCGGGGGAGGGGGGGGGGGCGAGTCGGGCCTTTCCCATGTCGCGGGCTTGCCGAGGCGCAGGAGCGACGGTAGCGAGAGCCGCAGCCGCGACGGCAGCGCCCGCCGCGGCGGCCGAGGCGCCGCTGGGAGGTCGTCGTCGTCGTCGTGGTCTTGGTCGTTGTGGTGGTGGTGAAGGTGGTGGTGGTGGTGGTGGTGGTGGTGGTGGTCGTCGTCGTGGTCGTGGTCGTCGTGGTCGTCGTCGTCTTCGTCGACGTCCTCGTCTTCGTCGTCGTCGTTTTTGTCTTCTCTCCCTCGTCGCCCTCGTCCTTCGTCCTCCCTCCTGCCGAGCCTCGTCTATCCTCTTCGTCATGCTCCTCCTGCTCACCCTACCTCTTGCTGCGTATCCTTCGAGTCGAAGACCGACGACGGAATTGACTTACCCCGACAGTGATCGCTCGACGAATATATGAGAACATGTGTAGAGTTTCCGTGGATCTACTGGTATTACGCACACTCTTCTCAAATTCGACGAAAGAATCAATCAGTTCTAGGGTAGTTCCATTTTGCAGTCGAGCTCCTGCTCGAGTCCTCCTCATCCCCGTTCCCCTCACATCCCCCTCTTCTTCCTCCCCCCCGCCAGCACCTTTTCAGATCCGCGGGGACCGCTTCATTGCAATCGCTGAGTGGGGAATGAGTGCAGTGGAAGCCTATGCCAAGAAACACCCTGCTTGCCTCCAGGGTGCCCTGGGTTTCTTTGGGCTTCGATGGCTTTGCTATGGAAAACCCGACTTCGCCATACCAGAATCTATGGACGTCCTGGGATCTCAGTGCTGGGTTTCCTGGGGAAGGTTTCTTGTGGTCGAGCTCCTCCTGTACGCCGTCGGTTTGACATGAGGACCCCGTTGGGCTCAGAGGACGCTCCGGTCGTCGGGCCACTCCTGAGGCCTAGGCCGCGACACCTTTTTGAGGCCAAGGCTCGCCGCGGCCAGAAAACAGAGGAGGAGGAGGAGGAGGAGGAGGAGGAGGAGGAGGCGATCGTGTTCTTTCTTCATTGTCTTGCAGATCGGCGCGGGCCCTCGCACCACCCCTTGGGGCAGATCTTGGCTGTTTTCGGCGCCTGGTTCAGGCAGGAGGAGGAGGAGGAGGAGGAGGAGGGAGGAGGAGGAGGAGGAGGAGCGGGAGAAGGAGCAGAAGGAGCAGGAGGAGGAGGACGAAGAGGAGGAGGAGGAGGAGGATGAAAGGGACGCCTTGTTGCAAACAGTCGCATTAAGCAGAGGTCCGGAGCCAGAAGCTTCCCCCCCCCTTTCCGTCCAATGTCGAAACGCCGGAACGTTCACTTGCGACACTATGATGCACGATGACTGTATGGTGGAAGGGGGGAGGAGAATGGAGGGAGGAGGGAGGAGGAGGATGAGGAGTAAAGGAGTCGAGGGAAGGGGGGGCGAGGATGATGAGGCGGTGCGGTACTGCGATGTGTCCGATGCACCATGTAAGTTTCTAATCGCACCTGATCCGGTCAGTTGTCGCACGTGAAATGTTCCTATCGCATCATATGGCACTCTCGCGCTTGAGGGGGAAGCGCCCCGCGTGGGCGATTGAGTTCCGATGCGGCGTCGGCGCCGCCCCCCTCCTATCCCATGCCCCGCTGCTGTTCTTCCCCTCGTTGTTGTTGTTGGCTACGTCACCTGCAGCGCCTGTAGAAACCTTAGATCCCCCTCGTCCATTTCCCGCCTGCTTTCTGGCCCCCCCGCCGTCCTTCGCTCTTCCTCCTCCGCCTCCTTCCCCTTCGCTTCGCTCCTCCTTCGCTCCGAGTGCTCCCTCCTTCGCTTCGAGCCTCCTTCGCTTCGAGTGCTCCCTCCTTCGCTTCGAGCGTTCCCTCCTCCTCCGTCGCTTCGCTCTGCTGGGATCGGCAGCTCGCCACCGCCGAAGGCCCAGGAAAACGCAAGCTCGAGCGAGTCCGGGAGCCTACGTTTAAGTCGGGCATGTCCCCCTACAGGGGGATTTTCGACGAACAATAAATAGAAAATAACCCAACAATGCCCCAAGAAGGTCAACAAATATTCAAACAATTGTCCCCAGACTATTTTTGGACTATGTTGTTGATCATTTTGGGGGTATCTTTTATTTGTCGTTGAAAATCCCCCTGTGGGGGGACAGGCCCGACATGAGCCCCCGCACGGCTCCCGCGCAGGGCAGACCCCGAGCCTCCGGCCGCTCTTCGCTCTCCTGGCCCCCCTTGCCGCGGCGCGGCGCTCCGCCCAGGCTTTCCATCCTTCTATCGCTCGGTGCCGTTGAACCAGTGCCCATCCCCATCCCCAGCCCCTTCGAGGCCCCCACCAAATTGCCACCCCAGCTGGGGATACGCCCCTCGAGACTCGAAGGGAGCGGCCTGTATCCCCGTGCCCACCCCCATCCCCAGCCCCTCCGAGGCCCTCACCAAATTACAACCCCAGCTGGGGGATAGACCCCTCGAGACTCGAAGGGAACGGCCTACATCCCCATCTAAGGGGGGTGAATCGGCCAGTGGGGCCCAGGCCACGCCGCTAGGGATGGGGATCGGTTACACGATACACAATCGTGACGTCCATGAACACATTTTGGGTGGATGCGCCTATGAACCACGCGGCCGTTGCGTTGGGCACGGTGCAAGGAATGAGAAAGGGTAGATCTGTCTACGGTATGCTCCCGTTCCAGAGCAGGTCCCACATGGTACTCAAGGCAGGAGGCAGCATGAGGGAGGCATCGAAGAAGAACAAAGCGCCATAAGCATAAACGTTTGGCGCTCCGCGCGGATTTCTTGGACCCCCGCTGGGCCCCCCCCATCGGCGGCACCTCCGGCGCCGCCCCTGGCGCGCTCCGCGCGCCAGGGAGGGGGGTCCAGCGCGGATCCAAGAAATCTGCGCGGAGCGGCGAAGGTTCATGTTTATGCCGTTTTCTGTTCCCCTTACAGTCGGGCCGCTGGGGAAGAAACTTTTTTCGTTGGGGAGGGGCTCAGTGTTCCTTAAATCGTTGCACTGTTTCTCTTAGGGGTTCCTGCGATTTTCTTTGGGCAATCAAGTTTCAGTTATGGAAAAAGGGGCCTCGTTCCGTAATTAGGGTTATGATGTTCCAACCTACTTTAGCTTTGATCTCCAAAATGAATTTCGAGCACCAGAAAGAATACCGAAACTCCAGGGTCTCCACGTGTCGGGCCCTGGGAGACACTCGTCCGACACCGTTTCGACACACTCTCGACACCATTTCGACACTTTTCCGGGTGCTCGAAACTATTTCTGGGATGTGGTCCTTACGTAGGCTGGGAACAACAGAACTCCAGGAGCGTCTTCGAGGCCTCTTGGGGGCCGTCGGGGGGGCCCACCCCGGGCGTCTTGGATAGGGAGCCAGATGCGAACCCTACCCCTACCCCTCACGATTTCTGAGGGGGGGGGGGTGGGGTTCACTTCGTTCGGGAGCTCCCGAGCGAAGTGAACCCCACCCTTGATTTCTCCACACGGCCATTGATTTGATTCCTCCACATGGTATCGGTGCCATTTGATTTCTCCACACGGCCAGCTGCGACGACGGCTGGCGGCGATGACGACCACGGCACGGACGAGCCAGTGCGACCACGTCGCCGACGACGACGATCGACGAGGACGACCTTGGCGCCGACGAACGATTGCGGCCATGCCGCCGACCACGACGACGAACGACGACGCCGCCGACCACGACGCCGACGGGGGGTAGGGCTAGGGTTCGCATGTGGCCCCCTACTGGAGCGACTGCTCGGCGGCTCGGGGCCCTCTCTCGGACCGTCTTAAGGAGGCCTCTCGCGGCCCTCCCGCGGCCCGTCTTCGCGCCCTCGTATTGGGGGCCGGAAAAAGAGTGTCGGGATGGGAGAACAAAAACGCACAGACACAAGTAATCGTCGATTCCTCTGAACAGATGGATGAATACATGGGAGGTGGGGGGGAAGGCAAAAAACAGAAAAGACAGGAAAAGATGTATGGGGAATCCGGTTATTTGTGTGTGTGTTTACTTGTGTGTCCCAGGGCCCCTTCAAAAAGTCATGCTGGAAGCCTTGGGGGGGCCCAGGGGGGAACCGCGGGGAGGCCAAGGAGATTTGTGAAATTTGGGGTCCGGGCCCATCACGGCTCCTCAGTATCGAGGGTTGAGGCTCAGGGGATGGAGCTATGGATCTGAGGACAGGCCCATTTCGTGCCGCGCAGCACAGTGGTGGATAAGGTGTATCTGATGATTCCTGATGCGTCATTTGCCGTGAAAGAAGCGGAGCACCACCACCGCGTAGGCGCTTGGGGTGTAGGACGAGAAGGATGATACGTATGAGGAGGAGGAGGAGGAGGAGGAGGAGGAACATAATGAGGAGGAGGAGGAGGAGGAGGAGGGCGAAGCAGGAGGTAGAAAGAGGACATGAAGGAAGGATGGGGGCTGAAGGGGAGGAATCAGTGTGGATGATATGAGAGCATAATATTGCCAGCAGTAGGGCAGGGACACGCCGAAGAAGACAGCGGAAGGACGGGGCGAGTCGCGCACGGCCACAACAGGCGGCCGTGGTCGCGGAGATGACCGGGCCGATGACCGCGTGGGCCTTAATCCGCTCCCATTCCTGCCCTCGCCGTGGCTGGCCGGCCTGTCGAGCAAGCACGTATTCAGGCGCGTGGGTTCGCGACGGGTCCTGCTTCCGTGCAGGATCGGCCAGCCTCGCGCAGAGGGGGGGGTGGGGGGAGGGGGGGAGAAGGCGCGGGCCTAACATCTACAGACAAGGCCGGCCCCTTCCGAGAAGCAGGGTGCTTCTAAGAAGCCTTCCCCACTCCCCCGGGAGGAGGAGGCGGAGGAGGAGGAGGAGGACAAGGACAAGGAGGAGGAGGAGGAGGAGGAGGAGTCCCCCTGCCCAGCTCCGCGCGCCGTGGCGTGGTCATTGGTTCATGTGAGGCGGCGCGGGCCTCAGGCTTCGGGCGGTACCCTCCCCGAGCCGTGCTAGTCATGCCGGCGTGCGCCCTGCAGCGGGGCAGGATGCAGGCCACGGCCTTCTTGGTTGTTGGTTCAAGCAGTGGCGAGGCGTCCTGGCTCGCCTATAGCCCTACCAAACAATGCTCTAAGAACCTTTTTTGTGGTTCCCACGACATGTTCTTAGAACACGTCTGGGTTCTAAGAACATTTCGTGGTAGGAATATATAGGAATGCCGGGACGGTCGGTCCCTGCTCGACTCCTCCTGCCTGGCCCTCGGGCTCTTTCTGCTGGCGGCGGCGCGCCGGGAGGGCGGCTCGCGATCGGTCGTTCGCACCTCGGGGATCCGCAGAGGGGGCTCCTGGAGGCGTCTCGGTAACGGTGCGGCATCCGATGGACCCTTCGGGGCGGCTCCGGTGCGGAGTTCCAGGTGGCGCCGCGTGGCCGGGTGCCTGGACACGGGGCGATCCCCGAGAACTCCTCAGAAGGGAGGGTGCGCCTCCTCTTGCTCCTCCTCCTCCTCCTCCTCCTCCTCCTCCTCCACAGTTGCTCAATGTGAACACTACTCTCCTCCTTCCCCTGATGACGGGTTGGGAGTGTTCGCCCCCCCCGCGTATTGTTTTTCTACACAGGATTCCCCGGAGTTGGGTTTTCGCCTGCATTTTTGTTTTAATGCTGCTCTCGCTGAGGCGCCGGCCTCATTTTCGGGCCCTGCTCGATCCGAATCGTGCTCCCGCTGCAGCGCTGGCCTCATTTCCGCGCTTCCGCTCGTTCCGAATCGTGCTCCCGCTGCAGCGCTGGCGTCATTTCCCGTGCCATGCCACGGCATGCAATGCAATGCTAGGTTGCGTTCCGCTGCGCGATGCCATGCCTTCAGCTGAAGCTGTGATATGCAGTGCTTGAGTGCGACGTCGTGCTGTGCCATGCTACGCTTTGATCTTCAACGCCATGCTATGCAATGTTGTGTTCGGGGCCGCTGTGCGATGCCATGCTTTGCGTTGCAAAGCTTTGTGATGCAATTCTTCACTACGCCACGCCACGCCATGCTGTGACATACTACGCTTTGCGGTGCTCTTCTACGCCATGCCATGCCGTGCTCTACAATGCATCGCGTACCCTTTCGGGATCATTGCCCTGCTCGACATCCGACTGTGCGAGTAGAGAGGGGATCTACGCCATGGTAAGGGATGGGAGGGAGGGGTAGGATGTCAGATATGACGCGAGCGCACCTAGCTTGTCCCCCTCCTCCTCCCCCACCTCCTCCCCCTCCCCCCCCTCCCCCCCCCTCCTCCTCCTCCTCCTCCTTCTCCTCCTCCTCCTCCTCGTATGGTTTCTGTGTTCTACGTGCCTCGTGTCAAGACCACGTACTCGCGTGCGGGGGCGGCCTTGCGTTGTCGGGATCCTCCAGGCCAGGGAGTGCTCGACGACCGATGATGATGCTGATGAAGATGATGCTGGTGATGATGATGATGATGCTGATGCTGATGCTGATGCTGATACTGATGATGCTGATGCTGATGCTGATGATGAAAATGATGATATGGATGATGATGGTGGTATTGGTGATGATGGCGATGGTGGTGATGATGCTGATGAGGAGGAGGAGGGGGAGAAGGAGGAGGAGGATGCTGATGATGATGGTGGTGGTGGTGATGGTGGTGATGATGATGTTGATCATGATGGTGATACTGATGTTGATGCAGATGATGGTGATGATGCTGCTGATGATGATGAGGAGGAGGAGGAGGAAGGGAAGAGGAGGAGGAGGAGGAGGAGGAGGGCGACGACGGTGACGACGGCGGAGCAGGACCCACCGGAGCGGTCGGAAGGCCAGCAGGAGGACCTTGTGTAGAGGGCAGCGGGAGCGCAGGCGACTGCAAAGCCGCCCGCCGCCGGTGGAGGGGGGAATACCCCACCGATCAAGCAGTGGCGAAGCGTCTAGGCTCGCCTATAGTCTCACCAAAGAATGCTCTAATAACATTTTGTGGTCTGCACGAAGTGTTATTAGAACATTTGTACCCGGACGGTCTTGGTTTAACACATCGGGCTTACATGTTCTAAGAACCTCGTTTTTGTTATTTGAACATCTTTGGGTTCTAAGAACACTTCGTGGTAGGACTTAGGAATGCCGGGACTGTCGGTCCCTGCTCAAACCGAGGCGACCAGCGGGACAGAGGCAGAGGGGACCGCGACCGCGACCGCCGCGGCGGAGGCCGCCGAAGCCCGCGGGGATCGCGGGCGGCCCCGCAGGGAAACGTTGGCGGCGAGCGAGGAGGAGGAGGAGGAGGAGGAGGAGGAGGCGGAGGAGGAGGGGACAGGGAGGGGGAGGGGGAGGGGGAGGAGGAGGAGGAGAGGAGAGCATGAGCATGAGCAGGAGGAGGAGGAGGAGGAGGAGGAGGAGGAGGAGGAGCAGGAGCAGGAGGAGGAGGAGGAGGAGGAGGAGGAGGAGGAGGAGGAGGAGGAAGCGCTCTGGTCGACCCCCCCGGGCCTGCGCATCGCCCCGCGGTCAACGCCCCGAGCGCTCTGCCTTCTATGCTACTTCCTCGTCCCTCTCTCTCCACCCCTGCCTCCTCTCATTATGCTTTCCCCCCCCCCACCACACAGATTTTGGCGGCGAGAGAGGGGTGCGACGTGAGAGGGAGGAGGCCTTCTCGGAAGGCGGCGGGACTTCTCAGAGGCCCTCGCGCCTTCTGAGAGGCTGCATGCGTTTTGGGGGGGAGCTTAGAATCCGTGTCAGGAGGCCAGGGGACTGCCGTCGAAGAAGAAACAGCGGCATCATCAGAAAGTTTTGGCGCTCCGCGCGGATGTCTGGGGTCCGCGCTGGGCCCTCCTGGCGGCGCCTCCGGCGCTCCTCCCTGGCGCGCTCTGCGCGCCAGGGAGGGAAGTCCAGCCCCGCGGATGTCTGGGATCCGCGCTGGGATCCGCGTCTGGGATCCGCGCCCCCCCCCCCCCCCCCGGCGGCGCCTCCGGCGCCCCTCCCTGGCGCGCTCTGCGCGCCAGGGAGGGAAGGCCAGCGCAGATCCACGAAGTCCTCGCGGAGCGCCAACTCCCTGGGCTCGCCGCCGATCTTCCTCCTGCGCGAAGCGGGTCCAGAAGGAGACGGGTCCTGAGGTGTTTGTCTCGCCGCTCTCGGGCCCTCGGGGCCCGCCACGGGCCTCAGGGCTTGCAGAAAACGGCTCGGGATGGAGGATTCGTCTTGGGTTGAGTCGGGCTGGTCCCCCTGAAGGAGAAACACTCAAGAATAGTAGAAATTTGTCTGAGGACGATGTTTCGTGCCCTACTTCTTCTGCTTCTTATTCTTCTTCTTCTTCTTCTTCTTCTTCTTCTTCTTCCATCGTCCGCCTGTAGGAGGACGTGCCCGACCGAAGTCTTTGGGGGAGAGCATCAGGGTCCAGGATCCGCTTCCCCCAGGACCCGACTCCCCCCTGCAAGCGAGTTCAGGGGAGAAAAAAGCACACAGACACAATTAATCGTCGATTCCCCAGAAAATATTGGAAAATATGGGAAGTGGGGGGGAAGACAAAAACCCAGAAAATATGGGAAACTATGGGGCATCATTTTATTTGTGAGTATTTATTTGTGTGTCCTTGGGCCCCTTGAAAGAAGCGCAGAGGAGGGACGAGTGCCCATCCCATACCGCTGCGCTTCCCTCGCTTTCGCCTTTCTCGTCATATCGCTGGATTCGCCTCGAAGTTCTGCGCAGAGCGCACCCAAGAGGAGGTCCTGGGAGCAGCGGTAAGATCATAGGTGCCTTGTCGCGACCCCTGAATTGGCACGGTCGTAATTTCTTGGAGCTCCTCGTGGGTTTGTCGAATCGGCGCTGGGCCTCCCTGGCGGCGCCTCCGGCGCCGCCCTTCGCGCGCTCGGCGCGCCAGAGGCGGGTCCAGCGCCCGTGCAAGAGATACGAGCTGGCCTCCGAGAAATTATGTATGTGCAGTTTGTTGTGACTATGTTATCCTCCTCATCTTCTTTCTCGCGCCTCCTCCTCCTCTTCCTCCTCCTCATCCTCATCATCCCCTTATGCGAACTTCGAAAAGGCACACTGCATCTCCGAGCCAGAGTGGCTCGGGTCAGAGTCATTTTCACGAGCCGCGATGGCAGTGTCTGGTCGAACACCAAGCGCTGGTCGGACTGGTACAACAAGGGTTGGAGTGCGAGTGGGAGGCTCCCTGTGCCGCCGCCCCCGCCTTCATCCAGACGATGGAAGTGCGACAGCTGCGGATGCAGGAAGAACCTACAGAACTGGAGCTACTGCAAGCATTGTGGGGCTGACCGCAGTGGTGATGCTGGCCATGGCGATCAGGCTCTTCCTACTGGTGCCGCACACTGGCCTCCTCTTCCGTGGCGTCCAGGTCCGTTGCACATGGGTTCGAAGCAGCAGCCATCCCCTTCTACTACGGGAGCCTCCCTTACCGCGTCCGAGCTGCGTTTTTTGGTTGAGCTCAGCAAGCGGGCGGGAGAAGCTCAACGGATGGTGCAAAGAAGTGGCAGGCAGTCCTTGACAAAGTTGAACCTCCTCCTGCGGCTCAAGAGCCTGTTCAAGCTCGAGCGTCCAAGGCACACTCCAAGGTACAGCAGCTTGAGAGAGTCCTGGCCAGGGAGCTCGGTAAGCTCGACAAGGCGAGAGAGTATTTCGAGTCGCAGCAGGACATGGTTAAGAATACCAGCGACGACCTTGACAAGGCTGACGCGTACTACAAGCAGATCGTCGCAGAATTGGCTGGAGGGATCGTTCCACGTGCACCAAAGACGCCCGACGGCAACACGAAGCTGCTCAAGCTGGAAGATATTGTGTCGGGCCAGGCTAAAGCGTTGGATTTCATCGACACGTCCTCGCTCTTCACGATCGACAGCGATGTGTATGTGGTCACCCCCGAGGATCAGCGGATCTTGGATGAGCGCAGGGACACGCTCAACACGCAGTTGCAGGAGGTTGCAGCGCAGCTGTTCTCGGGGGCTATTGACAAGGCCAGCGAACTCAAGAAGGCTCACGCTGAACACATACGTAAGTTTCAGCAAAAGCGTCGTCGTGGTGAGCATGGTGTTGTTGAAGCTGGTGCTGGTGCCGACAGACATTCTGAGCCGTCAGCGGGTACATCGGGGGCGAGCTCTGCATCAGGTTCGGTGCCGCCGTGCAGTGATCAGCCTGGTGCTGCTGCTCAACCTCAAGTATCTCCTGATGAAGTCGCCGTCGGAGGAGCAGATGGCGCTGAGCTTGACGAACCTGAGGATGTACGGTCCAGGGCAAAGAAGGCCATGGCAGTCGCAGTCAAGGCGTCTTCTAAGGCTTCCCCCCCTGCCGCGCGTGGCTGACGCCGCTGGCGGGAGGGGGGGCTTCCAGGTGCTAGTACATGTCCCAGGATCAGACTTTCACGAAGTGAGGGCGGAGTGCGAGCAGAGACTTCGTTTTTCACCTCGGCTCAGCTTGCGCAACTATATCTATCATTTGTTTGCTGATGAGTCCGAAGGCTCGAGCATGGGCCACGGGGCCGTTTCCTGTCGGAGTGCTCTGAGTTACGGCGTGTCAGCCTATCCCGCCGATCCCCCCCCAGGGCTATAAATCGGCCAGCTTTGGACAGCAGATTTTTTTTGAGGCAGCCAGTGCTGCCAGTGTGTCATCTTTGGCTCTCGAGGTCGCGTCGCGCAACTGCGCGGCTTGGAACACGGCCAAAGATTGGCTGCTCACCACCTCGGCCCATGTGGTCCTCCTGCAGGAACACCATTTGGGAGCGGATCGGATCGCGGAAGCTCAGCAGTGGGCTCTAAGGAACGGGTGGAAGATGCTTGCGCTGCCAGCTAAGGTTACGTCGACGACGGGGACCTCTGCGGGGGTGGCGGTCATGCGCAGGCATTTCGTCGGCCTCTTCGAGCCCCCTGGAGGTTGTGAGCTGGTCCCGTATCGTGCTATCGGAGCTTTCGTGAATCTTGGAGGGCAGCAGCCCGTTGCGGCGGCCAGCTGCTACCTCCACGACTGCCAGGGACCCTCGGATAGCAATCAGTTCATTATGTATAAGATTGGCGGTTTCGTTTCCTCCATCCTCAGCGGCTATGTGATCGGAGGCGATTTCAACATGGAGCCGCAGGTGTTAGGGGAATCTAAATTTGTTGAAACCCTTGAGGCTCAGCTCGTGACCTCGGGGAGCCCGGCGTGCACCTCCACGTCCGAGGCTGGGTCGAAAAACTATGATTATTTTATTGTGTCTAGTGGGTAGTCTAAAGGTGTTCGTTCGGTTGGAGTTGACCGTTGCGCCCCCATGCCCCCCCGTGCCCCTGTCACGATCAAGTTCCACTCGCAACTGTATGAGCTCAAGGTGTTGGCTTTCAGGAAGCCTCCTCCCTTGCCGTCTGTCGCGCCTGTGGGGCCCTGCCCGTGTCCGCCGAGCTGGGAGAGAGAGGAAGTGGTGGCCGAGTCCGTCTTTTGTGCTGCGCGCGCGGGGGATAAGGACTCGGGGGTCTCGCTGAATAAGCTCTATCAGGCGTGGGCGAACAAGGCTGAACGCGAGCTGTGTGGGCTTTATCAGAAGACCCTTCCTAAGATGGGGTGTAGAGGGGAGGTTCCTAAGACTTGGTGGGTGGACATTCGCAAGCGAGACCACCGTCCGTGTAGACACCCCCAGTTGTTTATCATCAGGTGGCTGGCACATGCCTTCCGTGCGTGGCGCCAGGACAAGTGACCTCATCGTTGTGCCTCGGAGCGCGTGGATGATGGCGTTCACGACCCCTCTGACTGGACGACCTCTCTTCTCCACCCCTATAAATTCATTTGCGACCACATCTCCTCTGGCCCCCACGGCCCCTTGCCGTCTGAGGTCCAGTCAGAGATTTCTTATGCTGAGCAGGACCCTGTACGAGCTGCAGGCCTACAGGAGCGGCTGGACGCCGGGGTTGCGGTTGCCTACACTCTCTCGCGCCAGGAGGGAGAGCAGTCGTGGAAGGAATGGCATCAAAAGGACTTGGACCAGGGGGCGAGATCGGCCCACCTGTGGACGAGACCTGTTGAAGCCTGGGTTCCATCCTCGGCGCTTTCGGCTCTCGGCCAGGTGGTGGCAGACCCTCTTGCACTGCTTCAGGCTGAGGGAAAGCGTTTCTCGGCGCTCTGGCTTGCTGACTCGAGTGTTGATGATTTTTCTGAGACTTGTGATTTCATTCCCTTGGAGCCTCTGTCCAGGATTACCCTTGAGCAGCTTAGGGCTGCCAGCAAAGAGTACGCGGGTAGATCGGCTGTTTCGGTGGACGGCTTCCACATGCGTCATTTCAACAGTCTCAGTGACGGGGCCCTCAGAGTGTTGTCTTGCATCCTTGCCGTCTGTGAGGTCACTTCCTCGTTGCCTCTTCAGATTCGCCTTGTTATGCTGGTCATGCTCCCCAAACCCATGGGGGGACTCCGTCCTATTGGGATTTTCACTTCTTTATATAGGATATGGGGGAACATACGTAGACAGTATGCGCTGGAGTGGGAGGAGTCCCACGTCAGATCGTTCTTCGGTGGCTACGGTTTCAAGAGCGCCTCCGACGTAGTCTGGCGCCAGACCCTTCGCAGTGAGATGTCCACCAGGCGAGGGGACGTCGCTGCCTCGGTACTTTGGGATTTGTATAAGTTCCACGAGCTGATCGATCTCGAAGCACTCGCGTCCAGATGTATTGAACAAGATTTTCCTAAAGTCATAGCTCAGTTATGTATCAACACCTACAAGGCTATGAGGTTCATCAACATTGCGGGTTATATCGGTGGGCCCTACAGGGCCATCCGGGGAGTGATAGCTGGATGTAGTATGGCTACCACGTTTGTTCGCATATATTACATTCGCTCGTTCTCCTCCATTTATTTTCACCCCTCTACCTCGCTCGACCTCTACATTGACGATATCGGGTTGATTGCCACAGGTAAGTTCAAAGATGTGTTGCGAGGTTTGAAGCGCGGCTCGGCTGCAGTATTTAAGGCAGTGGTGGACGAGCTGCATCGGGAAGTTGCTCCCGACAAAGCGGGGGTCATTGCCAGTTGCCCCAAGCTTGGGGGATGTTTGCAGGAGTGGCTCGGTAAGTTCTCTGGATCAGGTACCAGTAGCACTGCTGTCAATCTTGGGATCGATGACACTGCTGGCAAGACTCGGAGGTATAGAGGTCGTAACCCCAAGCGGCGTCGCCGAGCCAACGTTTTTCAAACCAGAGTTCGCCGCATTGCCCGACAAAAACGTTTCCTGGGAAGGTCTGCTACCATGTTGTTTGTGTCTGGTCCTTTACCTGGTTTGCTTTACGGGTCCGAGGTCCACGGTGTGAGCGACAGAGAGTTGCAGACCATTCGTGTGGCTGCTAGCAAATGTTTAAGGCCATCCAGCGGGAACAGGTCACTCACGGCCGCCTTGGCGATGGAGAACGATCCTTGCTGGTACGGAGTGCGTGCGCCTATCATTCGGTGGAGCAAGGAGGTTTGGGCAGGTCAGTGTCATTCTTTCCTCTACTCCATCCCGATGTCCGAGTTGAACCGCGCATGGTCTCTGGTTTTCGAGGAAGGAGCCAAGATCACCAAATGGTCCGAGGTCTCTGGGCCCGTCTCGGCGCTTTATTTATCGCTCAAGAGGCTAAAATGGACCATGCCCAATTTTGCCACCATCAGAGGCCATGACGGAGTTGATATCCTCCTCACCTTCGTCAGCCCCACCCTCCTCGAAGACCTCGCTCGTAAACAGTGTGTTCGTTTGTTAGAGTGCAGCCTTGCCGAGAAGTGGGGGACGGGATGGGGCAGAGTCTGCATGGACATTGTGCGTGCTCAGGCTAGCAGTAAGAAGTATTCGGCACTTGGCCAAGGATGCATTCGTAATCTTGCTTGCAATGGAGTTTGGACCGCAGATCGTGCTGCGAGCCTTGGATATGATTTGCCCGAAGAGCGACTTCTTTGGCCACTCTGTGGCATGGAGCGCGATATTATACATCACAGGTTGTGGACTTGCTCTGCCTGCCAGGGCGAACGGGAGGAGATCGCCAAGGCCTCAATTCGAGATCAAGCGTTGTCCGATCTGTCTGATGGTGATCGCCTCTTGTTCTGTCGTGGAGTTTTCGAGCACCCGTGCGCTGTCTGGCCTGCCCCGCTCGCGTCGGGAGGGACGGAGATCAGATCGGACGGTTTTCCTGAAGGAGAAGACGGGGACATGGCTGGTAAGCTGTTTTTCGATGGCTCGTGTTTCAGGCACCCGATTGCGGACCTCTGTAGAGCGGGCTGGGGCGTGAGCAGGGTCGATGATGCAGGCTGCCTCTTGTCGTCTGTCTTCGGCCCTGTGCATGCTCCGCTGCCTCAGAGCGCGCCTGCAGCTGAATTTGTTGCTCTAGGCATGGCCAGCTTGCAGACAGTCGGTCCAGCAGAAGGGCACTCGGACTGTTCAGCGGTCGTCAAGCATTACCAATTGCCAGCCGTGGAGCGTCTCAGTTATAAGCGAAAATATTCTGGTGTGTTTCAGTACGTGAATACATGCCACAATCTTTCGAGTGTTTCTAAGGTGCGTGCGCACCTAGACCCCGAGGAAGAAGGCATTTCGGATGACGAGCGTGTGCGCAGGCGTGGCAACGGCCATGCAGACACAGCAGCGAAAGCGGGAGCGGCCATGCACCCTCGCCCCGCGAACGCTGTTGACGAAGCACTCTCTCGAATGATTGCGATTTCCAAGACTGTTTGCCGTCTGGCTGCCACGCTGCTTCCGAGATGGCCGCGCCTCGACCTGTCTGAATGCGTGCTGATCAAAAAGCCTAGGACTGAAGGTGGCCTGGCCGAGGGTCCTGTGCATAAATGGAACATGCGTGGCAAGTTTTGGCAGTGTTCTGTCTGTTACGTAGGCTCGAGGGCGAAGGATCTCCCCTTGCCTGGACGTTGCTCTGGGATTCAGTCAGCTGTGCGCACCAATCTGGATGTTGCAGACCAGCTCGGCCACTGTGTAGTCGTTCTCACTTGCTCAGACGGTGTGGATTGCTACCTGTGTACAGTTTGCGGTGCCTTCCTTCACCGAGGCAGGTTCGAGAAGAGCGGACTTTCCTCTGCATGCTTTGGGAGTCTCAAGCGCCACGGGCGCACTAATTACAACAGAGCCCTACGGGGCCGCCACCCGCGAGAGCCTGATCTCAGGGTGGACCCCCTCTCCTCTGATCCTCCTCTTCCTCCCTCGGTGCGGGGCGGCGGGACGGGGTCGGAGCTGGGGGGGGGTGACACTTACGATGAAGCAGGACAGCTCCGTCGTGCGGAT